CAAACATATGTCCTTTTTTATTAAATATATTCTATATCATATTTCGAATATTTAGACTCAGATTTTTAATTCTGAAAGTTCACTTTTAGTTTTAATGAAAGATTTTACAACAATCACACTCTAAAGGCTGTCAAGCACAAAACTGTTTCAATAAAAATGATGAAAAATAGCATAGAAGGTTCAGCTATGAGCCGCCATATTGGAGTCGCCATCTGAAACATTTTTAATCTTACACTTGACTGACAAAAAATATGTCAAAGCAGATTTCTGAATTGTGGATTTATGGAATTATGGTATTTAGAAATATAAAAGTTTTGAAATTTTAGAATATAAAAATTGGAAAATTGGAAAATTGAGAAATTGAAAAATTTGAAAATTTGAAAATCGGCAAATTGGAAAGTTGAGAAATTGAGAAATTGAGAAATTGAGAAATTGAGAAATTGAGAAATTGAGAAATTGAGAAATTGAGAAATTGAGAAATTGAGAAATTGAGAAATTGAGAAATTGAGAAATTGAGAAATTGAGAAATTGAGAAATTGAGAAATTGAGAAATTGAGAAATTGAGAAATTGAGAAATTGAGAAATTGAGAAATTGAGAAATTGAGAAATTGAGAAATTGAGAAATTGAGAAATTGAGAAATTGAGAAATTGAGAAATTGAGAAATTGAGAAATTGAGAAATTGAGAAATTGAGAAATTGAGAAATTGAGAAATTGAGAAATTGAGAAATTGAGAAATTGAGAAATTGAGAAATTGAGAAATTGAGAAATTGAGAAATTGAGAAATTGAGAAATTGAGAAATTGAGAAATTGAGAAATTGAGAAATTGAGAAATTGAGAAATTGAGAAATTGAGAAATTGAGAAATTGAGAAATTGAGAAATTGAGAAATTGAGAAATTGAGAAATTGAGAAATTGAGAAATTGAGAAATTGGAAAATTGGAAAATTGAGTAATTTATAAATTGGAAAATTGGAAATTGGAAAATTGGAAAATTGGAAAATTGAAAATTGGGGAATTGGAAAATTGGAAAATTGGAAATTGGAAATTGAAAATTGAGAACGTTTGTTCTCCAAAAATCACTTACAACAATTATACAATTGATTTTCCGAAACAAATGAATTACGATTCTTTCGAACAGAAAGTAAAAAAAGTTTCTGTTGTGTCTTTGAAGTTATACTCTTTTGTGTTGCGTTCTTTGAAGAGATACATCTAGAACTTTCTGAGTGAGTCGTCGAAAAATCGTCCATTAGCGTCCGAGTCCCTCCATTGTATTCAGTATACAATCGATATTAAAAGTATCATTTAGAAAGTCATCCAAATATCCACATCTTCACAAGTCATCGAACAGAAATAATTCAGAGCATCTGTGACTATCAGACTTAATTGTTCATACGATTTGTAAATCCACGTGTTCCAAAATGCTATCTTTATCTTCAAGTTCAAACTACATCTTTTGCTGCATCGTTTGTTTGATTGACAAAATTATTTATCAAAGCGCGCCTTGTTTCAAAAGAAGGCATCTGTCAACGAGCTACGAAGCTTCCACTTCCGTATTTACACGATTTTCTTTCTTCAAGCTTTAAACAGAGTTGAACAGAGTCTTTCTGGTGCAGAGGCCCGTACGTAAGATGCATACATTTGAACTTTTGGCGGGAAGTTTGAATATATGAAGTTTGTAATTTAACACGTAATGAACGAATGTGGAAAATTCTTTCAAAAAGAATTTGTAAATGTATATTTATACTGATATTTTTTAGTAAAATAATGATTGTATTAAAGATGTGATGTGTTGAAGTGGGATTTGAATGTAGTTTAAAAAAAATAGAATAATTTAATGGTTTGGGTTCAATATTGATTTTTATGGATCAGAGATGTGATATAATATATTTATTTTGATTTTTAATGTATGAATAAAGAATGTAATATAATATATGTATACATAAAATGTATATAAAAATATGTAAATATAATAACAATTTAATGTTTGCATTTAATATTGATTTTTATGAATCAGAGATGTGAAATAATATATTTGTTTTGATTTTTAATGTATGAATAAAGAATGTAATATAATATATGTATATATAAAATGTATATAAAAATATGTAAATATAATATATAAGTATACATAATACATGTATAAGTAAAAATATACATGTATACATACATGTATAATAAAATGCAAAATAAGAAAAAGGTAATGTAAAGTAACATAATCATATAATAATGATATGATTATAACAAGAACTATAACAATGCAATTATAATATTAACAACAACAATAAAATTATATTTAATATAAATATAAATATAAGTATTATTGCCTTATATTTATTTTAGTCTATCAAGATATTCATTACAATACAACAAACAGTTCCAAAGAAACTTTACCTTATTTATTATTAAAAAAATAACAAAAAGCTAAGTACTAAATATTTTGGATTCACAAATAATTTCCCACTCATTTTCAGTGAGACATATTATAAAACACAGTAATCAGTAAAATAAAATAAAAAATGAAACAAATAATCGTATAAATATTAAAATATTGAAATACATAAATTTCCTTTTTCTTAAGATTTGAAGATTTGAATGTAGGGACCCAAGTGTTTTGCATCCGCCATGATTCTCTTATGGCCGGCACTGGCTGTGAATTCTGAGATGCTCTCATCTGTCAATACTAGGCTTTTTCCTCTGGAAATTATGGATAATGTAGAACGCAGAAAAAGAAGGAAGGAAACGAGGAAACATGAATCTTGGATAGCTAGTGAACGTGACAGAAATTTATGCGATAAATCGTTCAATCTTTGAAAGATAAAATGTAAGACACACGATCGGATATTTTTATAGGGATACCGCGAGGAATTTTTATATTGATTAACCCTCGAGTGAGAACGTCCGATATCACGCAGAATTATAAAATATCATTGTAAATTCAATTTTATTATGATTTTTATAATTTTATATTATTTGTGTGCAAACAAAAAATTGAAATAAATTTAAAATAATGCAAAATTAAGTATTATAAGTGAAGTAGATACAATTGATATTAACATGATAACAAGAAAATTTAACAAATTGAAAACCTGCAAAATTAGATAGTTAAAAATTTGACAACCTGAAAATTTAACAAATTGAAAACCTGCAAGATTAGATAATTAAAAATTTGACAACCTGAAAATTTAACAAACTAAAAACTTTAAAAATTAAACAATACACAGCTTGATAATTAAAAATTGTGCCACGAAAATGCATACTCCTCTTAACCTTATTTTTTACTACATATCACTCTATAACCATCGTACCACAATTTTTGGTTCACGCTATATAATCGATAGTAAAAGCGATCGCCTCGCAACTTGCAAATTCAGTTGGTCAATTGAACGATACATCTTCGAAGTTCTCCCTTTGGGCCAAACAAAGAGAATTGCATGCAGGAAATGAATAGACTCACAAGTACACAGTTCGTTCTCTTCCAATCTCGTCCCTGACCCTGATCCAGTGACGTTTCGGAAACGAACATACTAAAAATAACTAGTCTCGTTTGCATCCTATCTTCGTATAAACGTATGCGATTAAATGTTGATTGAAACACTTGTTTCCTGAATCTGTTCACAAGTCGCGCAACTCATACTTATTTAGAGAGAAGTTCAAAACGTTCAATCTCAAAATTTTGTCTCAATTTTAGGAAGTTAAAATCAACTGAAAATTACCTGGACAAAATTTCTTCAATCGTTCCAATAATTTCCTTCTTTTATAGTTTCACGTATACAGGGTGGCTCACCACATTTTGCCATCTAGATTTTCGTCATTATTATTACTCATAGCAAACAATGTTTCAGATGAAGTTGAATGGTTTTGAGAAGGGCATATGCTGATGGTATAATTTTTTGCAGGTGAACGTGTAAAGAACATATGAAGGTCATTAATGTTTTTTTAAATGGAATCAT